TGAATTTCTTGTCAAAATAATTGAAGACTTGTTCATAAACAGCCAATGGCTAAACAGAACTGCCTATTTGTAAGAAGCTGAAAGTTTGTCATGTTTTTTTTAAGGACAAAACACAAGCACTACAGGAAATTCCTTAAGGCGCTCTAAGAGCAGTACCTGTGCGAAAGTAGCGATCCACATTGGATTTGAATCGCTGGAGATTAAATCCATTTGCAAAAACGTTTTCTGGCAGTTTATTCCATTAAAAACGCAGTTCTCCAAATGGAAGAGTTCTTAATCAGTGAAGTTCCAGGTATACTGATTTGAACCTCAAAACAATGAGCAGCCACAGTCCGTCGCGTATTACTGATATGTACCGCTCTAGGTGGAATCAAATGTGTCAAGTCACTCGAACACTTCACGTGAAAGTATTTATAGAAGAGAGACAAATCCCTAACCTTTCTTCAATGTTCCAGACTATCGAGGGTGCAAGTGATGTTCGCGTCTCCAATCAGGCGGATGGCTCTTTTCTGGATGGAATCCAGCAGCTTCAGGGTATGCTTAAGGACGGTGCTCCAAACATGAGAACAATACTCCAAAGAAGATCTGATCTGAGCTTTATAAAGCACCAAAAGTTACTGAGATGTGTACAGTTTTCTGGTTCGGAACAGTGTTCTAAGCTTTTGGGAAGTAGCCTTTGCAATTCCAGCGACATGATTGTGCCAAGACATATTGGTGTCCATTTTAACCTCCAACAAACTTACCGAAGCAGAAAGTGGAATTGTCTGTCCTAACATTATTATATCCAGTTAGGAAATATTTATTTTGTTGGAAAAAACTGATGCCTGGGTTTTTGTAGCCATTAAATTGAACCTGGTTACTTTCAACCCAATTCGAAATCAATTCTAGATCCTCATTGAGATATGCAACCTCCTGCTGCCGGTGAAGATGAGCATCCGCAACCGATGTTTAGAAATCTTATTTAAAATATCTTTTCAAATATTTTATGAAATACTGGAAGTAAAGCGATTGGCCTGTAATTGGCCATATCTGATCAACAGGCTTTTTTATGAATTGGTATCACTAGTTCAGACTCAACTTGGTGAGAGAATATTCTCAAAATGAAGAAAATTTCAACAAGCAATGTTGATCTTTTATAATACTAGACGACACTTCATCTATTCCACTGGGTGTGGATGCTATATACCTCTTAGAAATCCACAGGGGTTGAAAATTTCGAATTGGAGTTCGTATTTATGATACTTATTTCATAGTTTTCAAAAACTTAAAAAGATCAATAAAGAGAACATTGAAAGTAGTGGCAATTTCCAGAGTATCTGTCAATTCGTCACTACTTTCAATAGTTATATAAGACAAAACTTCTTTTGAGTTACCAAAATTTATGCCCGACCTTATGACTCCACAAGTGGCACTAGATTTGTTAGAGAAAGATATGATTTTCAGAGATATGAATTCTTTCTCTTGCACTTATTGATTTCTTGTGATTTTTTCATTTCTTTTTTTAATATTCAATTCAGATATTGATATTAGGAAACACTGTCGACAACAGATTTACATTTCTAATTAGTGCACCTTTGTTCAGAGATGGTGTAATACAATGATTACCTTAATTTTTAGTTGTAACAAATGAAAAACATGAATTCTCATGACTTATAACTTAAGACATATGACTTAAGACTGGTGTATGAATCCACATTTAAAGGAGTTGACTTCAGAGTAAGTAGGCATGAGAAAATATAGCAGATTTTCAGGAGAAACCCCATAGTAAATATTCGAAATGAATTCAAAATGTTTTCTACAATTACCTGATATTTGATAATTTCCTCAGTTTCCAAAAATATTTTCAGTTTTTTCCAATGGAAAGAAGCTCTCTTTCGATATTCATCTAAGGGACCAGGTTTAAAATCCGATATTAAATTCGACATGATGCCAATCTGATATATATTGAATTACTGATTTAGAAAGATTATTAATCTATACTTATACTTTTGTCATGCAATACATGACCACTTTATCACAAGAACTGAGATAATACACTCATTCAAATCAGTCATTTCAAACTGAACTCTGAACTTTCAACAAATATTTTTATCATTTGAATATTACACATCATCAATGTTCAATAGAAGTTCAGAGATATCGTCACAGAATAGTATATTCTGTGATAACAGAATAGTATATTCTGTGATATAGGATATCGTCACGTATCTCCTCTCTTTTTTTTGGTTAGCTCTATCCTACTCTTCTTCTCCCACTTACAATTTGCCTTTAGCTAGGTCTTATATGTTAAGTAGTTCGAATCACCATTCCAAAATAGATTCTCGCAGATATTCTTCAAAACATGGAATGATGGTCCTAATACCCACTTTAAACTAGCTTCAGGATCTATGCCTCTACACCTCATCACTCCTAGTAAATGATAGTCAGAAGGTTGCTTATGATATATATGGAAGCTATCATTTCAAAATCGCTCCGCAACCACAACCGCTCCAAATATTGTATTATTTTCATTTGTACCCACAAGGAACAAACAATAAAAAAATTATTCCGCAATATCAACTCCAATCATCCTCGTATCCAGTTTACCACGGAAAAATAATAAGGAGGAAAGATATCATTTTTGGACGTGCTGGTGAACAGAAAAACTGAGAGAAGACTAATTTATCCAAAACCTACTCATGTTGAGCGGTATCTCAACAAGAACTTGATCCACTTATTGACTGGGCCACCAGGATTTGTGAACCACATTTTGAAGAACTTTGTCATCCAAATCAAACTCTACAAGTCAGTGAACTGGATAGTTCAATCTAAGAAATAGGCAGATTGGAACCTCAGAGAGAACTCGTGACGATACAGTAGAATGATTGAGGCCCCGGCCCGACCAAACAAAATTAATTTTGGAGTTGTTTCTTGGCTTTGTCTGCAGGTGGCGCAGTGGACATCCTATTGAATCAACTGCAGAGTTTATGACTCTCTGGAATTGATTTTGTATGGTCGGGATACCCAGAAGCCGGTTCACTCCGCCTGAATTGACTTGAACGGTACTGATGATGGGGCAATACCCCGAGACCTATCTAACGGTTGGTCGCACCGACCAAGTGAAATTAATTTCTGCTTTTCATATGCAGGAAGTAACTTGCGAAGAACCTCTCAACTAGATGACATCACACAGGTGTCTGATGGTTTTATTTCAGCTTTTACTCAGCTTATTTCATAAAGTTCGAGTTTTCAATCTCCAACATTTCATCTGTAGGGTTATCGTACATTCATTGAAGTGAGCAAAATTATGAAAGCCACTTTCATATGTTAAACTTCCTTGGTGTATTTTGATTCATAGGGAAGAATCACGATCTTATGACATGTAGGTAATAAATTTCTTTGAGGATTTTCAGCATTCACTTATAAAATATTCTTTACTCATAAGATACCTATGTCAAAACTTGTACCCACCCTTACTTAAGCCTTTAAAAAAATGTAGAGTAGGTATCAACTTTACTAAGTCTATTTATTTTTATATTTTTCCTATTAAATACATGTTTTTTCAAAAACAATAATAATATAATTATAAATCAATGTAATATCCAGAAATTAGATGAAAAACTCGTGGTAGAACCACAGCCATTTGATAAGTTATGAATGTGTATAATGAAATACATGATCTTGATGTTTTCAAAAATTTATTTTAAATATATTATTGAGAGTACATAATATGTACTCTTTTTCAGATGGGTTATCTAGGGTCTGAAACTCATACTTGATAATTTGTGAGGTTAGATATCTCTCGAGGTTTGATTTGAAAAATTTAATTCTAATTTATTTTTCTCGATTAACAGGAAGCACACAATCTGATATTCTTGTGAATAATGGATAAAATTTGTCATCCTTTAAATCTTTCCACATAGTCCTTAACTGATTTTCTATGGCCTTGATATTATTGCTATAAAATTTATCCACTTTCATGGTGAATAAAAAAAGAGCTTTTTCTATGACAGGATTTACTTCATCACAAAGACTATGGAAAGCTTGAGCCGATGCTCCTGGTACTGTCTCCAAATTTTTGACAATCATAACTCCGTTTTCCCTCAACTGTTCTTTATTTTCAGCAATTATTTCACCATAATCCTCAAGGATATCCGTTGTATTCAATTGCCCTTTTTCAATTATGATTGGTTTAGACGAACAAGAAGTTATTTCACAAACTGCCACAGATGAAATGCCTTTCACTATTCTATCCAAACTATGCTTCGTATCATCTTGATACAAGAAAATTACTGACTTCGGACGATTATTTCTTTTCACTTCAGATATGACAACTTCAATGGAAAGCCAAAATCCGTCCATTTGATTTGGAAATTCTTTTTCCAGAGTCTCCATTATATATTTCTCTGCTTCAACTTCTATTTCCTTCACATCATACAACAATACACAAAAAATTGATATGCATCCAATACCTATTGCAATGCAAATCCAATTACAAGGTTGTTCTTTTTTCGAAATATCCTTAATTTTTTTTTTGGATATATCATGGAAATCAGATTCTGAAAGTGAATCAGAATCAATTGAAAAGCTTTCCTCTTCCCCACTTTCCATGTTTTCAATAGGACTCTGAAATGATTCTAGATCTCTGATAGGTGGTCGTCCTTTAACATGTTGTACATGTTTAGGGGTACTGTTATCTAAAGGCGGTTCATCCTGAAAATTCAAAATTAGGACATTTCAACATTTCATATAATCTAACAACTCACCATATTTTCATAACACACAAAACGTGGACGTTATTTCTTCAATTTTTGTGACCACTAATTTTTTGAATTGAATTAAACAAAATAAAAAATGAATAAACCCCCTCTCAGAAAAAAATATTGAATCAGGGTCGCCACTTGATATTTTATTTGCAAACACAAACCACCGAGAGAAGTAGTTTGTGTTTGCAAACTTAAATCACAGACTATTCTACTCATACAGAAATAACACTAACTGTCAGAATCCTCTGATCTTTTTGTCTCTCAAATTTGGTGACCTTGAAAAACCAGTTAGGCGTTCATTTATTTACTTCGATGAGTTTTCTATTGCTCTCGTTCGGATATTCCTAAGTCACTTCTAAATTCTTTTGGTGAATTGTTAATTGAAAGTCTATAAAACTTTGGTTCATTTCTAATTGAAATCTATACTTATAAATGCGAAAGTCACTCACTTAACACTCACTCATTCATCCTTGTTTCTCCGTACTGGTAAGACATAGGAAGCTGAAATTTAGTGTATAGACTTATTCATCCCTGTTTCTCCGTACTGATGAGTCATAGGAAGCTGAAAGTTAGTGTATAGGTACTTCTCAAGTCTTAGATGCGCACTAAGAAAGGATTTTCAAATTCAGAGTCTGAAATTTTGTATGTAGGTTCATTTTGTATTATTGATGTGCAATGAGAAAGGGTTTTCTGGGGCACCCGCGGAAGAAAAGGTGTGTTGATAAAATATAGTTTGGAATACAAACTGAGTAGAGAAAAATGTTTTCTGGATAATTCAGTGTTCGTATGGAAGTGTTTGTTTCGAAAGAATTTTTCCTTCATGTAATTCACTAAGAAAGGATTTTCAAATTCAGAGTCTGAAATTTTGTATGTAGGTTCATTTTGTATTATTGATGTGCAATGAGAAAGGGTTTTTGAATATTCCAACTGGGGCGGGGGGCGTTAGCTACGGGAAAAAAAGTCGTATAAATAAAATAAAATTTTCATCACTGTTTCTCCATGCCCTTAAATTTCTGGTGGGTGAATTTACATTTCCCCTGCGGAGCCGGGGCAGATCTCTAGTAGAAGATAGTTTACACATGATGGTGACCTTTAACCCAGATTTTTTATGAAATGGTTTTTTTGAAAGTTTTTGAAATGTTTCATCCATTATCCCTAATAATTATGTCGTCAACCATTTCAGAAATACTACTTAGCTGCCTTTGTTGAGATAAACTGAGGAAAAAAGCTTTCACGAAAATAATCTTGATAACTTTCAAATAATAATATCCATATAGGGTTGGGAATAACTTTTCTATATTTATAATAAGATGTTAATAAGTGATCAAAAAATGAAGTGAAGATTGGGAAAAGAATTTATTCTCAACAAATAAACAAATATGGATGGAAAAACATATTAGGATGTCTGTCAAAAAATTAGATCTATTACATAATCAGATGATGTGGTAATCTTTAAAGTCCCCTTCTATCTGAAGTTTTCATGAAAAAATTTGAAAAAACTATATAACAGCATTATATGTTGACATATAGCCTGGTTTGCAGCAACACATCGACAATTAAAGTCATCTTTTCAATGAATTAACTTTATACACGGTATATTTATGCTTACATGCTGATTTAAAAAATATTTATATTAGTATGAATTTTAGACAAGGAACTGAAATTTGGAAAAATGTAATGTTCTGTCAACAGAATTATAACTGAGAAAGTTCACTAATTTTTATTTGTTTTTCTATTTTTTTTTTCTATAACTTTTACTCTTTTAGTATATTTCATAAAATGAAATGTTTTCATTCCTATGAACAGTTTCATCAGAAAATTCAGAAGAAAATCTAGACAAGAATGATTTTCAACTTTTTTAAAATTTTTGAAATGAAAAATTAAAAATTGCTTTTACTTTGCAATCTTCTTCAAAATTATATAGTCTATAGAAAATTTCAAAAGAATTTACATGAGACTCCTCAAATACTTCTTTCCATATCGTAAGCCTTGAAATATATCAATAACTTGTTGATATCCAGATTGTGAATATGCACAAACATGCTTTTTGCAATAAAGTAATTTCAATTATTAATCATAATTAGGTAACTGACTCCCTAATTATGATTAATATGAGATGTTGAAGTCAACCTGTCTAATTGCTGTTAATAATTTATCCTCATCGTCTACAACAATTTATGCTTATTGGGTGTAAGCAATTTAAACAAAATTTCCTAAACGCTTTTCAACACAGTTCCCATTCTGTTGTCTTACACTTCCAAAAAAAGTTTTACTCTTCTTGTTTTTAAGTATGTAGTTGGAATTTGCAGCAGATAGTTTTGTCCACAATTTTTTTTTCGTTTATAATAATTTGTATAAGATGTAATAATTTTTCTTCTTTGTTATATTGCAGTTTTTTTGATGCCCTCGAAAACATTCTTTTATGGGACTTTCATTATTTGAAGAATTGAGTAAAACAAGGAGTTTATTAAATTTTTCGATTATTTCAATACTTCCAAAAGCTTCTGCAGAAAGAGCACTTGAACCCATATAAGTATCCATAACACATGATAAAATTCTTCAGTGAATATCTAAGATGTTGTCTTTCTATCAAAACGAAAAACAGTATTCATCAGATTCTTTTCGTTGCTTTGATCAAATGATAGGTATCAAAAAGATAAATTACATCTTCACCATCCACTGGAACACAGGATTTTCAGCACTTACTGTCAAAATATCTACAAGACTTATAATAAAATTTGATCCTTAGTGACTTACAAGATGTTATGTAATAAGAATTCTCTTACATTCCTTATACACTCCAAGATTATTTCATATAGCTCTGCTGCTCCATATTGTGTATTAACAAAAAGTGGAATTTTTACCTTTCATTTAGTATATTCTGTAGAAATCCTGTGAATTCCATAACGAATGTTTGGAATACAAACTGAGTAGAGAACAGTGTTTTCTGTATAATTCAGTGTTCATATAAAAGTATTTGTTTCGAAAGAATTTTTCTTCCGTGTAATTCAATGTTTATATGAGAATAGCTGTTTCAGGAAGGCTTTTTTCTTCCAGTTTGTGTCTTAAAGTTACTTCTTTACATGATCTACACATCTATGTATAGAGTTACTTCTTTTGAAATTGATTGCTTCCTTTCTTTCTGTGTAAGATTCCCATATTTTTTTGTATCAAGATGGAGTAGTAGAACGCCAAAAAACTTTTTTTTACAAAAATTTGTCACTCCTAAAAATATAACCCTTTCAATTTAAATAAGATTCCTTCTGGCTGAGATTTAATCAAATACGTGAATGCATATCATTACGATGTCATCGATGACATAAGTAGATCAAACGTATTCGGTGATATAAAAATCGTAATTTATGAATGAATTGTGTATTTTTTCTTATCGTTATCCAGATTGGTACTGAAGAGCCCTAAGGCAAGTACCTTACGGCGAAACATCGATGTCTACCAGTAAGCGTGAACAGTGTTCCATGTAAGTGGAATTTTTACCTTTCATTTAGTACATTGTATAGAAATCCTGTGAATGATATCTGATTTAATTCCATAACGAATGTTTGGAATACAAACTGAGTAGAGAAAAATGTTTTCTGGATAATTCAGTGTTCGTATGGAAGTGTTTGTTTCGAAAGAATTTTTCCTTCATGTAATTCAATGTTTATATGAAAATAGGCTTTTTCTTCCAGTTTGTGTCTCAAAGTTACTTCTTTGCATGATCTACATATCTATGTATGAAGTTACTTTTTTTAAATTGATTATTTCCTTCCTTTCTCTGGAAGATTCCCACATTTTTATGTATCAAGGTGGAGTAGTATAAGGCCAAAAACGATCTTCCCCAAAAAGCTATATAGTATACTATTAGGTAAGTATTGGTCCCCCATCGTTATTCATAATATTATTATGTTTACTTATTTCTACACTCTCATAGGCATCTAGATGCCTGTTATTCTAAATTTGTCTAATCTTAATGAACTAAAGTCTATGGAATGGTTTTGTTGCAAAATATGACAGGCGACTGCTGAGTTTATTGGTCTTCCATATTTTAGGTGTGCTAGGTAGTCCTTATAAGTATCTTATTTTAAGAGATCTTTTTTGTCTGTCCATAATATTTTGCATCGCAGTCCTTACATTTAATACCATAAATTCCGGCAGTGGCGGATTTACACATTTTTAAAGTATAGGCTATACAGTTTTTGCTGCCCTTGCCTCTAGAATTGTCATCATTTTTATAACCCAACAACTTCGTTGAAAAAATAATTATTGGGTATATTTTTGTGCTAATCAAAGCAGATTAATGTATGCTACTTACACATCAATATACATTTGGTGAACGTGAATGAATAATTTCAATTACGCTTGCAAACAGTTAAAAATATTCAACTCAGTCAAGTTATAAAACTTCGTTACAATACTTTTTTGCGCGATTTTTTCAGCAAAATCATCGACGATCATCGATGATTTTTTTGGCAAAATCATCGACGATCATCGATAATCATGTTCATTAATTTTGACTCTGCACAAAAGAGCTGAAGCCTTTAATTTTTTTGGCTCAAGGTCAGTCTTAGATAAATTTTTGTCTTTTTTAGACAAGAAAACTCTTTTTGATTTCCATGATGTAGCAAAAAAATCGGACCCCAAAGTTGCCGCCCCAAAAATCTGCCGCCCTAGGCTCAAACCTGGTAAAAATTGTGAAAGAGGCGTGTAAAATGAAGTATTAGGTTATATTGAAAGGGGTTCATTTTCAAAAATATTTCCATTTTGAAAGAAACTGTTGAAGGAAAACCTTCTCCGACCAAACATAAAAACTAAAGTTATATGTTTGTGTTCACAAACAATATCACAAATGTCAACTTGTCATTCCAGATAGAAACGAGCATTCGTTAAATATGTTTCACTCCCTTGACTCATTGATCACGTGGTATCAAATTTGCATTTCCTTGTTCGGCACCAGATTTTTCAACCGAACATATCTACTGTTGGTAATATCACCGTATCTGTTTACTTATGTGCGGTGGTAATATTGAAGAATACATTAGTTTGAATTCTGTGGTTATACCTACAATATAATTAGAGTTAATGTACTGCCACCGTTCCTGGCTTCCTTATTATACAACGTGTTCAAATGCATCGTAAATGTAAACTCCTCTACACATATCTTTTCACTATTAACAAAGCAGAAGACTTCCTACATTGTATATTGAATAAAATTCAATTGAAATGATATCAGCATGGTCAAGAAGCAATATCATAATAGAGTTGGTATTTGTTTTAAGCCTATGCAGGTTTATTGCACACTAATGATTGCAACTTTGGTTGGAATGACTCTTTTGCATTTCTTTTGGAAAAATGCAGATGACATAAAAACAGTACATGAGCAAACAGAACTTTCCCAAAAAACATTGGCGCAAAACCATGCTGATCCCAGAAAGTCTACATTTCAAGGAGAAAAAATTGTTCATTTAGACCTGAAAGGAGCACCGCCAAAGATAACATACTACCATAAACTGTTTCCATTACTAGCAAAATTAGGTGCAAGTGGAATTCTCATTGAGTATGAAGATATGTTTCCATATATGGGTGAACTCGAAAACATTACTGCATTGAATTCTTATACCTTAGAGGATATAGCCATTATAAATAAACTTGCACAAGATAATAATCTGCGTATTATCCCTTTAATTCCAACATTTGGACATTTAGAATTTATTTTGAAATTATCTGAATATAAAGACTATCGAGAAGTAATGGCTTATCCACAAGTAATATGTCCAATTCACAGAGATACTCTGAAATTGATAAAAAATATGGTAATACAGATTGTTAAATCACACCCAAATATAGATTCAATCCATATAGGAGCTGATGAAGTCTACTATTTAGGAATTTGTAGTGGCTGTACAGAATATATGTCAAAGAATAATATCTCTAAAAATGCATTATTTTTAATGCATGTTAAAAATGTTGTTGACATGATAAACACACTCTTTCCTAAACTAAAAATCCTAATGTGGGATGATCAGTTCAGATCACTATCAGAAAAAGAGATGAAAATGATAAATTTTGACATAGAACCAGTTGTTTGGAAATATACAAAAGATGTTTATGATGAGTTGGGTCCCAGCCTATGGGGAAGTTATAAAAAAGTATTTTCTAAAATTTGGACTGCAAGTGCTTTCAAAGGAGCTACAGGTATTTCATTGTTATACTTCATATAATGAGTATATTCTAACTAATTATGTTACTTGAAGTTTTCTCAACATTTCAGCTAGTAATGCATTTGTCTCCAAAGTTACCCATTATCTTCAGAATCACCGCAGTTGGATGTCAGTAATGGAGGAGTTCAAACATCAGCTCAATTTTCAAGGTATCATTATTACAGGATGGCAGCGATATGATCATTTTGCTGTCTTATGTGAACTGCTTCCAGTAGGTATTCCAACATTAGCAATGAGCCTCAGGTTACTTCAAGGTGAGTCCATTCATTTGTTTTGGGGGGTTAACTATTGTATGAAATACAAATATTGTAGGTTTTACAATACCGTGTAACAATATGTTGTTGAAAAAATATGCTCACATTCTCTGTTTTTTATAGGCTATGACGATTCTCCACTTAGTCCCCCAATGGAAGTTGCTAAAATATTGCAGTGTGAACAGCCCTATGGTTTAATTGGACTTTTTTTTGGTAGCCCCAAATGTTCTTTTCCAGGAGGTGATATTCTTGAATATGTACTTCATCTTGAACAGCTTATTCAAGAATATGACATAATAATGGAAGATTCTAGAGTGAAAGGGTGGATGAATGATTACAGTGTTGCTCATGTTTATTCCAGTCCTAGTTATGTTGATTCAGCAACTTCTTCCTTGAGTAGAATGAAAACTGACCTTGAACAAATTGACTCTGGTATAACAATCGCTATGGCAGATGTGTATGATGAATACACAATCAATGAATGGAAGGAAACTTACATAAAGCCATTAAAGAGAAAAATAAAAAAAATTTGGGATATAAGAAAACTTCTTCTTGAAAGGGACACGTGGCCAAGAAGACCTTTAAAACATGATGAGAATTAGAATATTGTTTATTGTAATCCAAATGAAACTAATTTTATTGGTAAAAATTCATATATAATGTATGAAACTTTTTCATGTAAGCATACTTCTATCTATGTTATTTTGTTATGTTGCAACTGTGTTAACGATCATATTTGCCTAAAATCTAGTATTTTGTGCAGAAAATGATTCGAAGATTGTAAAACAAAGCAAGAAAAACTAATATGATATTGCCAGTGGCATGTGTAACAGTAACAACTTTCTGATGATGATGGAAAAAAAATGTTTTTTTGTAAATATAAGAATTTTAAAGTTTAAAACTAGGTTCTGAAAGTAATTGTAACTTTATTTATCCTGATAGTGACTGTAAGACTGTTTCCTCACCAAATTCATTGAAATGTATGTGCCATATTCACGTTATAAAAAGGAGATATAGCTCCCAATTCATTTAAATAGCTAGGTAATGTATAAACATTGATTTCAGTTATTATATTGTATATAGAAAGACAGGTGAAAATATATTTTCAATAGAGATGACAAGATTTGACTTGACATTTTTTAACAGCGTACAACAACTATTACTAAAACAAAATTCTTTCAACTACCGAAGCTAATCTGTCAAAATAGAGTTCTGATTTTTCAAAATCTGTGATGGGATTGGTCGATACTTGGTGGAAATCCATAAAATATTCAAGTAACATTTTATTGTGAGATTTTCACTGAATAGTGTGAACACACCTGAGGAACTATTGTATAGCAAATCACGTGTTGCGGTTTTGTAAACTGTTCAGTGAAAATCTCGCAATAAAGTGTTCCTTGAAATTTTTTCATATTTGCTGAAAATATGTGTTAAGATGAAATAAATTAATTTTAATATCTAGAAATTGTTTTTAAATGAATGTTTGTGTTTTTAAATTTTGGAAGGTATACCTATTAGGATGAATGTATATAAGATAAAGAAAATAACTTTTGTCTGATTTCTACTAAGTTTTTCATTTGTTACTTCCAATTTCGGTTTGTTAAACCATTCTCAATAATGATAATTGTAAATGATTTTATTCTTATTCATTTATATGTGGGTAATACAGATAATAAATTTATTTTAATAAAAGTACAGTTGTTTACTTTTCTTTTATTTGTAAATAACGAAACGATCAACGGAAGTTTCGCAATATCTCGATAATTATCACTAAATTGAAATGTGTTCAAATTTCAATTTTGAGTAAACTCTCCACGCTTTTCTTCTGTAATATCCCATCTTGTCAAAAATCTGACTTGCACTCCACAAATCAGGTAGACTGAAGTCAATAATCGATTTATTTATGCTGATTTTAAAGTACCACAGAATGACTGAAGTGTTTTCGATAGATTTATGGACAACAGTCCCACTAATGCAAGATGCTAAATAAAAAAAAATCGACTTTCTTCTCTTGCCTTCATCTCCTGTTATTGGAACATTTTAATATAATCTTGAAAAAGGGAATGAATAGTTGGAATTAAATTTATTGCACAGGATACATTAATTCAAGTCATGAATCCTGCCACATTCGATTGGTTGTAATTGTATGGAAACATCAATAAAAACCGTTATTATTATTAATATTGATCAATAGTGAAAATTAAGTTTGTTGCTCATGCTACACCATCAAATGAAGCCAGTATTACAGAATTGAAAAATATTAATGAAAAATTTCCCTATCCTATAATTTAATTTTGATCTGTAAATTTCATTCTCAATCAAGTTGGACGACCAATGAATGACCAAAGCATTAAACAATTCATGAACCATTTACTCTAATTCATTCCTCAGAGTATTTTTTATTACACTGAGAATTCATTCCTAGAAGGCAGTCAAATTCATGTTGTAATGGTTGCCTATACCATGTAATTATTATTTTGGATTGAGTGAATCTTTCGTAACCCCTCAAGCATTATCGCTCAAAGTTTCAGACGTTCACGAAAGCGTAGTTTTTTCATTATTCTTCTTCGTTCTCTATCAACACAATACTTGTGTAGGAAAATAAGTCGGTCTTCACACATCAACAATCAACGTGTCAATAATTAATTCAAGTGGTCTTGACACCTGACATCCACGACTATAACACTAAAGAATTGGAATAGATAAATTACTTTTAGTGGTATGATGGATTCATCGGACTTTGTACTTGATAGATTGAGACAAAATATAACAGAAAATAGCCTGCAACTGAAAGCATTGATTCAGGTACAAAAACAATTTATATAATTGCAATGAATGTTATCACAGACTACTTTTCATTTCAGGATATCAACGCATGCGTTGGTCCGTTGGTTGAACTTCACGTTCTCAATAGCGCGGGACGTTCAAAAATAAGTACTCTCAGAAAATCATTGGATAAATTCAGCGATATTGCGAAAGAAAGTAAAGATCCTGAATTACTGAAAGAAGTAGTGATTCAGAGAGAACAGTTGGCAAGGTTTGTCCTAATTTTAATACATATTTATATACATATAATGTACTTATATAAATAATATAGTTATTATCGAAGCATTCCACTGGAAGGACTAAGAAAACACTATCTACCCTTTTTTGTAATATCGTTTATTTTATGTGAAATAAAACTCAGGTTTGCGGTGGAAAACAACTCGTTGCCATCGACACTTCCAATTATTACATTTCGTAACAACTAACGTTATTTTGAATGTCTTTGGGAGTAATCCAGAAATAAAGATAACTTATATTTCCTATGGTGTGCTTGCATTTATATAGGCAGGTTTGAATTAGTTACAGGGGAATGTAACTTTATTTTCAAAATGTATTTCTGGATATTAACAATTTATAAAGTTTTAATTCTGTCAAACTGTCGTACTCTCGTTGGTATCATGTCTGATAATCATCTTTGACTACTCAAATAAATTGGCCAACTCGACCGGATCCACATCTGTTTCATTTGCTCCTACAACCCCGAAAAACCCTGAGATAACGAGATCCATTGCAATCATAAACTTGTACACATTTTAACCTATTAAACTTAGTGAACTCTGGATGTAACCCTTGATAATTTGTGTTAAATCTATTGTTTTTCTGTTATTTGTAGTTCCATGGATGCTTTCAAAAAAGCCAACTTGAAGTCTATGCTATCTATTGAGAAAAGTGTTAAAGAAGAATTACTCAAACCTACCAAAGACGAGTCAGTTCTCCGACAACGACAAAAGAGGGACAAAGAGAGTCTAGTGAAGATGAGTTCCAATGTGACTGATCAATTGCTGTCGATTAGTAAACAGCTAGCAGATACTACTCAAAGAAGCGCAGCTACGCTTGAAACACTTGTTACATCTTCTGATAGTGTAACAGGTACACAAGAAGAACTGAAAGTTACGTCAAGTGCAATTGGACAATCGGGGAAATTGTTAGCGAAATATGGGAGAAGAGAATGCACTGACAAAATTTTAATGTTTTTTGCTTTTGGGTTCTTCATAGCTTGTGTATTTTATATTGTTCAAAAAAGAGTGTTCTGATTCCACTTCAGAAACGGAAAGTACTGAGAGTTTATTTTTATTGTACAATTTATTTTAATTGTTTTCCTCATTTCAATAGTATATTTCGCTTGTTGTCGCTGCAGACAATTGGACTAGTCCTAGATTGATCTGTTTCGAAAAAAACATATGCGGTTTCGCTCCATTTCCTTGAGTGTTATTTTTGGGTTGAAATTTGGCATGTATGGTCAAAATCGATTTCTAAGCAAATTTTTAAATAACTTATTTCGATATCTCCAACGCAAAGCAAAATATCTCCTCAGGTAGTGACACGCTGTGTCATAGCATAGGTTAACTATGCTGCGATTAAGTCTCTCTCACTTCCCGTGAGCATCTAGCGCCCTGTGCTTTCATTCCGTACGCGACGTTCGTGCAAGGTGTTTGTTGTTTTTGCGACAAATTGATGTAATTTTACGTCTTAAGGAATTAACGAGGTGAGCTGTGAAATATTCCTCAATCCACGTAAACGCTGTGTTGTTATTTGAGACTGTTCATTATGATTATGCTGTAATGCTCAGTTCAAATCTGAATATATAGGTATTTGTTTGTATTGAAAAAATATTTTCTACGAAATCCGTTGCGGGTTATCGTGATCATCTGACCACCATTGCTCGCAATGTTATTATGGTAACTAAATCTAATTAATGTTTTCAGATGCAAAAAAAAGGTCTAGAAAAACGTAGAAGGCTTTACAGTCTTCGGAGACGTTAGAGAAAACTCTGACGCTTATGGCTAATGGAACATCTGTGAGAAAAGCCGCCAATCAAATTAGAATTCTATTTTCCTCGCTGCAAATTCGAAACAAGAAGAAATTGTTTGAAAACCAATCTCTACGGCGAAAAGCTGTATTTTCTGCAGAAGTTGAATAAGAAATGGCTAAAATATTTTACGGTTGCACAGCTATAGAAAACTGACTCATGAATATACAGAAAGTTTAAAATTGCCACACAATTTTAATGAAAATAGTAAAACGGCGTGACAAGATTGGTTCGAAAGCTTCTTAAAGAGAAATGAGATATCGATATGGGAGCCAAAAGGCACTAGTATAAATTGAGTAACGGCCTTTAACTCACATATTTGCAATTGTGATGAGATGTTAACCGTCCAAGATTCGGGAAAAATACTAGCTCCTGTCCTCCAAAAACGTATCGGGTGTCGTTGGGGTTGGGGTGGCGCTCATTATCCAGCCGGGTACGCTGGATATCGCTTTCACACAACCCGTATTCCTCGGTGTATGCGGAGGCGCGTTCGCCAACAACGATTCCGCTGTCCACCTCGGCCACCGTTACGAAACTTCGAGACGGCCGGCAGGCCTCCCAGTTTTGAGTCCCAGGGATTTCGGGACTCAACTTCTGTCTGAGCTCGACGGGAGGTTTTTCCGTTGCACTGACTAGCTCGTTGTAGGTGTGGATTTGTGATCGCAACTTCGCCCGCCATGAAGAAATCCCCAAGGCCCTGCTGCCTTCAGGATGCCCCCCTGGCATTCCACCTCCCCCTAGCACTTCCGCTAGGGCCTCAGTTGCTCCTTCTAGAGAGAGACCAAGCGCTCCTGTGCGCAGAGCCTCTCCCTCCCAGGAACCTCTAAGGGTTGGGACCTGGGGGCGTCGCGACGCCTGGCGTCGGACGGCCATTCCTTCTTGTCCGTTTGTACGTTTAACGCCCGCCGGCGACCCATCGAAGATGCATCCCACGTTGAAGTATCCATCCTCTAGATAATCATCCCTGATGTTGACATCCTCTTCACTTCCGAAACACCCTGTGTTTCGGAAAGCCTCATTTCCACGTTTTACGCCCGCCGGCGACCTGAAGATGTCTTCTTCGCTTCCGAAATACTCCGTATTTCGGACAGCCTTTCTACGTTTAACGCCCGCCGGCGATTCCTCTCTGAAGAGTCCCACGTTGCATTCGAAACGTCCTACGTCTCGAGTGTGCTGGCTGCTCCTGCACGAACTCTTTGAGGTCGACAATGGTCTTGTTGTATCGAATTTGACAAGTGGTACAGGATGACTGTACACCCTGTACATGTTTACTTTTGGTGTTTCCACATAAGTGGCCAACACCTCTCTTTGTCTAAAAATATTTAAATTTTCAGACAGAATTGTCTTTGCTGGAGGGATTCCATCTGTCATCTCTCCCTTCGCAACCAATCTTGGTATAGCGGGTTTCCTTGCTGCTTTCATCATAGCGCGGAGCCCTAACTGGGGCGCGCTCTGTATTTGTAAAGTTTTTCCCTTATTGGGAAACTTCTCGAGTAACATCTCCTGATGTTCTCTGACGGAAGTTTCGCTGTCCATCTTCCTTGTGTTTGGTGTATTTAAAGCCCTAAAACGGTTTAATACAATCTGACTGCACGATATTTTATCACGGTTTGAGGACTGAGTCCTTTGAGAAATTTTGCTTTTACTAACTAAACGTCTTGCAGTGGAGCCGAAAGTGCCACGGTTTTGTTGCTCTGCGACCACGGAAGAGGTACTAGTGTCCTCGTTGACAGAAAGGTTTCGGTTAGCATGAGACATTCTCAGACTAGCTGTCTCAGCTGGAGTTCTTGGAATACTGTGTCCCACGAACACAGATTCCATTGGGATTCCTCGTTGTTCAGTCGAAGTCGCACAAGGGCGACTAAAATTGTCTGAATAAGGATTAATTTGGTCGAAGTGGTTGAACTCGCGATTTTGCACTGTCGTATCCATTGCAAGTTGCGCTCGCGCTTGTCTGGCACTAGTCTGCATTTTCGTATTGAAAAGTCCCTACCAAGACTCTGACTTGGAGATAGGCAGAGGGGAGAATTCACGGAAAGCTAAGACTTTAAGTTCACTCTTGGATCGCGAAATTAATTCCCTAACCAAGGACCTACAGAGTGAACTGAGCTAATAATAAAGGATCACGGAACCTAACTGATGAACCGCACCATAGGATGAAGGCCGTCCGCAGGAAGTGTGGATAAAAGGTATCGTAGTCCTGGAAGGTCCCAACGGTAACGATGAGTCGACAGCCCAGAGGCTAATCTAATGATGGCTTGACTCCTTCGCTTTAATCTCGTTATACCAGGCCAGTTATCACCGCAAGGTTAGCCTTAGTACCTGAGAGTGGGCAACTTTAGTGGAGACCTACTTTTCCTTTGTAGAATTTTGGCCAAGCAGAGAGTAAGGTATGGTTAAGCAATAACAAAAATCGAATTTCAAAAACCAATCCTCAAAGCTCCTGAAAANAAATTCAACTTCACATTCGGATAGTATTCATCGATCCGAACCGAAAAGTCTAATGAAATTTTTCGATATCTCTATTTCTTCTGGCTGTAAAATGCATTTGAAAGAACAAAAATTACGATTTGGTCGGAGCTTTCGGCGAAATTCCTCCGATGATTATAATTCCAAATCCGACTAAAATCTACATAAAATCTGAACCAGTCACCCTACAGAAATGGTTCTGGTATCAATCGAAAGCTAGTTAAAAGTTCTATCAATGTCTCTTAGAAGAAAATATGATTTCCCTATCTAACTGAGTGAAAACGGCATTTTCCTGAAAATGACCGGTCCCCCTATATAGAATAAACAAATGCTATTAATCTTGCAAAAGATTTTCTAACACTTAGGAGTGCTGAGTTTCCATAACTAAGCTGAAATATCATAAAACATATTTTCCAATTTTCCTCAGAGTGTGCGGAGCTCGCACTGAGGCTCGGGAAACAAAGCAAACAGTTTTGTTTCACGACACTCCAAAAGGACAGAAAAGGGTAGGATCCCTTACTAGTTGAGAGAGAGGCAAAATCACCTCCGTTTTGTGTACCTACGATGAATGCTGCTGGATCATTTATACCCCCAATATTTATCTTTCGAAGGAAACGACATTCTCCTCATTTAGAAAAAAATGGCCCAGTTGGTGCTATATACCGCAGCTCAGAGAATGGCTGGATCAATGAAAGACTTTTTTTAGGATGGCTCCTACAATTCACAACATTTGCCAAACCTTCTGCAGAAGAATCAGTCTTGTACTAGATAACCACGCGAGCCACATCTCTCATGATATTAACAAGCACTACAAATCCCACAATATTCACATGCTGTCCTTACCACCACACACCACCCATTGTATACAGCCGTTGGACGTGATGTTTTACTGACCTCTTAAGGCTGCCTACAAAAAAGAATCTGACTGCTTTATGAAGAACCACCTCGCAGAACGAATAACTCCATAGGATGTTGCATCGTTGTTCAAAAAAGCATATTACATTGTTGCTTCTAAGGGAGAAGTTCGGGTTCAAAATCACTGGTATTTTTCCAACTAACTCGGATGTCTTCACTGACGAAGACTTTTTACCTACTAAAATACTCCAAGGTGAACCAGTGGTTATTCAAGATAACGAAAGCTGTTTTCCTCTTGAGACAACTGCAACTCTGACATCCCAAGAATCACTGGTGTTGCATCAACATCTGTACAAGAGCCCCTGGTGGTTAATGAACAAAAACTCCTGGTATTTACATCAACACCTGAACAGAAACCTCAGAAGGTTGCATCAACATCTGATGAAAAACCCCGGGTAGTTGCATCAACGTCTGTACAGAAACCCCCAGGTGGTTGCATCAACATCTTTGCAAGAACAACTTGTTGTCGCAAACACATCTTAACAATACCTACCAATAAAAACGACCAAGAGTTGAAAATTTTATCAGTTTTCACAATCTTTTAGTACAAGACAAAGACGAAGAAAACAACAATCTACCATTCTGACTTCCACGCTATTGAAGAGAGTCTTATAGAAAAGGAAATCAAGAAGCTGAATAAGATCATGACACACAAGGGAAAAAAGGCAAAAGGAAAGTTATTCAGGAAGACAATGACTCGTCATTGACTGACGTAGATATTGAGGACCTTTGCATAGATGGTGATGATGCGGACTCAGAAAATCATTGTCTTATATGCGGAGAATTCGGCCACAACAACGAGATATGGTACCGGTGCACTTCCTGTGGTCTGTAGTCTCTTTTTGCTTGCACTGGTTGGGATT